CTTCCCCACTGTAACCATTTTAACTACTCAACCATCACTGTAATGATCTACTCAACACGCGACCATCTTCACTGACACCTTTAAATTCTGTCTTTATCTCTATAATGATAATCATTACCCCGAAAATCACCGAGTTCCCAGTCTACAAACTTCCTCCCCTCCACTTTCCCTCCCCTTCTCCACTTCCCTCTCCTTCACTACACCACATTCCATTCATCCCTGTAACCATTTACACTAAACGGTCCGTCAAACTACATAAAGTAACACAATCATCACGTGGAAAATAATATGCTGGATAAATCTTAGTTAGGATGGTATTTAGCGAGACCGGACATTAGTGTCATTAAATATGTCATATATGACAAAGAGGATGCGGTTATGGACGGGGGTTTCTGTGGCCCGAGCTGCCTATGACTAGGCGAGTATCGTCCAACCCAAAATTACAGTAACTCCCGGTACCTATTTACTGCTAGGTGAACATAGGCATTAGGCGAAACGAAGAGCCTGACCATTTCGGTTCCGCCCGCGATTCCCGATTGTTAGTCGAGACTGCCCGAAACGCTATGCGTGTTAGTGGCTTTGCAAGAATGTAAGAACACCAATGTTATGTACGCTCAAGCCAATGTATTTTCTTCTATACAAATAAATAATACAGCACAAGTACCCACTTGCCTCTATTGTTAATCCACAGTGTAGACAAGGTCAGGGCCTGTATACCCGACGTATATGTATAGGGAATACCAGCACGTCACACCGGTAGTTCAGCGCCGCTTGTCACCTTCCGGATATATATTATCACTCAATAACCTAAACAGTAAAATGTTAACTCCACAAGAAGCTGGGAGCCGGCCGGGACGCTGTGCACCTCACCGCGGCCAGGCGAGGTCTGCGGGACATCCTTCTGAAGACCTATTTCACACCGTGAGGTTGCCAGATGTGTCGGTACGTTGCTTTAATTAGTTTATTAAATCATAATAATCTTTAAAATTGGTAGTAAAATAACACATTTGTAGCTGAGTATGGATGAATAAAGGACGGTTTCATGTAGTACTTTCAACAATGTCATCATAATTATGTATACCGTGTGTATGGGTACAGTACAGATATGGCCATCATTCACTCACTAAAACCAAAGCTGGGAACACTAGTGTGTGTTTATGACACAACCTACCAGTTCAGACTGGTCTCTTCTCAGTTATATGTGAGCTGGTAGGGAACTTAAACCCAAAAGAGAGCTCTGGTTGTTGCACTAGACTGTTACTTGCTGACAGGCAGACAGTGTCCCCAGACAGAACAGCCAACCTAAGTAGCCACACTCCCACTATCGTCGGTCGCTACTGTCGGTTTACCTTGATCACCCTATATGCCTCTTGATCTTGGAGAGGAATCCATCATCACCTATTTAGGGGTGCGGCTCCATAACTGGCCTCGTTGTTTTGTGTACACACCCTACTCGAGCCACCGTGACTCCCCACTCTCTCCTTGTTTGGAATGATCTAAATTCCCTTTTCGTGAATTAGTGTCTACTGTCACCCTATCCACAGCAGTGACCCTCCCTCCCTCCCTCTCACTCGCTTTCTGGGAAAGCTCACCAGGACAAGAGCAAAACCCAGCTAACATATAAAACATTTAATACATAAAAAAGGTACATAATACAAGATATATAATAATAATATAACATTACCATACAACACTAAGATGTTACAACCCGGTAGCTCTCCAGTATCATATCCTGGCTTCACCAACTATCCGCATCAGGCTGTTGCACAACTCTTGGCTCACAACCTCCTTCCCCCTCAATGCTTGGGGCTGAAATACCTAGCACAACAATAATGTATCTTCGACCATAAAAGCATATGAAACTCTGCTTGGGGCTGAAATGCCTGGAACCTCTACATAAGTATCCCCAACGAAAGAAGAAATCAATCTCTCATCTTACACTGCGCCTCACATGCCAATAAGCATTCAAGCACTCCCTTCATACATTAATGTGTCGACAAAGGTCCTGTGTTCTGCTCCTAGTGGTTCAGTTGCTATTTATTTACAACATCAAAATAATTTCCCAATTGGGCTCTTCATTGACCTGAGAAAGACCTTTGATACTGTAAACCATAAATACCTCTTACTTAAACGTCACCATTATGGTTTCCGTGGCCTTATTCTGAACTATATTCGATCCTATCTTAGTGACAGACACCAATATGTAGCCATCAATGATATAACCTCCCCTACTCTACCATTAATCGTAGGAGTGCCACAGGGCAGCGCCCTAGGACCTCTCCTAGTTCTTATATGCATCAATGATCTGCTAAATGTCTCTAACATTCTTAAACCTATACTATTTGCTGACGATACTACCTTCATCTACTTGGACACCAACCCACACGCACACTAAATAATGTTGTAAATAACAAATTAAAAAAAAGTCCACTCATGGATGTCAACCAACAAACTCACACTAAACATAAAAAAGACTTACTACATTTTATTTGGAAGCAACTCGTCAAATGAAATTCAACTTCTTCTTCCTCTTGATAGTAGGTGCAGTTTGCAAATTCAACTTCAGACAGACAATGTAAACATCAGCAATAAAAATTATGGAAAGTTCCTTGTCCTATTCATAGATAAGAGAACTTCAACATCCATATATAACACATAACCCAAAAAAGTCTCAAACTGTCGGTATACTCTCTAAAATCAGATATTATGTTCCCAACTCTGCTTTTCTCTCATTATACTACTCGCTAAGCTATCCCCCTCTTACATACGGTATCTGTGCATGGGGTTTAACTACTGCCAATTAACCCAAGCCCATCATCACCCAGGAAAAATCTGCTATCATAACAATAGCCATTTTCAGACAACGCACAGCCCCTCTGTTTCAAACCCCAAAACATACACTCACTCCGCACATTATCTTGTGCTCTTTACATGTACAAAACCTTGTTTATAAATGCAAATCCTGCATTTGTTCACGAAGTTCACGAAGGATACTATCGAGGTACAAATGACCGCGAGGGGCAGTCGGGAAGCAAGACACACGCACGTCCTGGAAGTCAGGACATTCAACAAGGATATGCACGAGCGTAAGAGGAACAATGCAGTTTAGACAATAAGGAGCAGGGCGGCGCTCCATTAAGTGGGTGCGAGTCAAACGTGTATGGCCAATACGTAACCTTGCTAGAGCCGTCAAATTCCCACTGAAGGTTACAGTGATAGGAGGAAGGCCATGGGGACACGCTATCCTTAAGAGCACGGCAGTTTGTTACCAGTAACAGAAGACCAACGGGCACAGGTTGAGGAATAACTGCGTAGAAGTCGAAATAAGGAACACCTTTGTGGGACGTGGGACAATTGCGGATAGCCACCTTAGTGACAGCGTCCGTACGGTCATTTGAAGGAAACGCCAATATATGGTCAGGAACCCAGCAAAACTCGACTGTCTTAAATCTGCTGGAGATAAACTGCCAATGTTGAATTTAGACTACCGCAGGATGGATAGGATTAAATGACTCCAAAGCCACGAGGGCACTGCGAGAGTCAACTACAACGACAAAGGAATGTTGACAGCGAGAAAGCAAATGACGAAGAGCATACAAAATGGCATAAAGTTCTGCTGTGAAGATGCTAGTTCTCGGGATCAGGCGACACATTACAGGTGTAGTCTAGAAATACTACAGAGGACCTATACCTTTGGCAGACTTAAACCCATCTGTGAAGAAGGCATTGGAGCGGGAGTGTGAAGAAAAATTGTGCAAGGAAAGGTGTTTCAGTGCTGGAGGAAGAGTAGAAGTCTTTGCAAAACTTTAGAAGTGTGGGGGGGGGGGGGGGGAAGAGGATGGAACGACAGGAGAAATATTGGTACCATGAACTAAGAGAATCTTGCAAGCGAAATATCCATACAGAGAAAGGGAGGTGGTAAAAGGACACATTGCCCACAGGATTGGCAATAGTCAAAGCACGACATAAGCTAGAGTGAGGATGATGTAGGAATAACTCAACTCGTCCTCGACTCGAGTCCATTACATCAAGTGGTCGACCCCACAGACCCATTCATAAATTTGTACATGCTCTTCATTCAAAACGGGAATTTTCTCAAATATAAATATTCGCGATTATTTGTATTTGTAATACGTGGGTGAAGCATTTACAGCGTTATGGTTCGAACAAAATTCGTCAGTGAAGCACTTGTTCCGGAAGTGTTCGAACGTCATCAGCTGTGAGTTGTATGTTAACCGTTTTTCATTCATAAACAAGGGGTTTAGCGGGTGCATGGAATGGACTTTGGGTCTTTGTTTGGAGAATGGGCTGCGAAGACAGTAACGATCATGACGATTCTATCGAGACAGGACGCCGGTGTCAACATACAGGTTCGGCAGTCCGTCCTCCAAAACAAAGACCCAAAAGTGATTCCATTCACCCACCAAACCCCCTGTTTATGAATGAAAAACAGTTTACACACGACTCAACTGATGACGTTCGAAGACTTCCGAACCAAGTGCTTCAATGACGAATTTTGTTCAAAACACAACGCTATAAACTTCCCTGGGGACTCTATAGTCCGAGAAGTTGAAAGAGGATCAGAAGTCGGCATAGAACGAACAAGAATAAAATTTAATTCACGATTAAGTCCCACACACTCACCATGGAGCCACAATTAGGGAACAGGGAACCCGACGATGCACTTCCCAGGGGTGCATCGTGGATATACAACCTGTAATCGTTATTTTAAGACCCGTCTAGATCAGGTTCAGTAACGATGACAGAGTTTGACATAAAAGCTTCCCCTCGCTCGAACACGTCAAGTGTTTCAGTTGTATGGGCGGAAATGTACGCATTCTCCATCAGAACAGAAGTAGTCACAGAAAATAACATTCAAAATCGGAACCGAGTCGTCAGGAAGCTTCATCCAGAAAGTAGAAGTAGAGAAGAAAGAAAAAAAACATGAGGGAGAGTAAAAGTAGTCTAGGAAAATTTGTACGTATAGAAGGCTGCAGAAGCACAAGGCTCTGAGAGGACACGTAATGCCATGCTATTGAGCATCACACTCCAGCAGCCACCCACCAAGACCTCTCCCTCCCCCATCCCTCACGCAGACAAGGGTAGACAGTGAAGGGGATTATTATTATTATTAATGTATTACAAATGTTATACAAAAAAGAGAATCAGGTTACATTGTTTACATAGTAGGTGCAGTATTTGTATATTTTATTAAGACATGTTTTGAACAATGTTTTGAACATAACCTTATAACTACTGTTATTGGGAACAGGAAGCATGTAAATATGTATATGTTTTGAGCTTGTATCGAAGTGTCCCCTCTCTCTTTCAAGGTCAGACTACTGACCTTACCCAGGATGCAGCCTACAACAATTGCTTTACTCCCGGGTACCTATTTGTGCTAGGTGAACAGAGGCATCAAGTGAAAAGAAAATAATCTGACCATTTTTGTCCTGCCTGAGGATCGAACCCGTAATTCTCGATTGTAAGTCGAGAACGTCGACTACTGTACTACAGTGTACTACATAAGACATTTTATAACTGGATATGGTTGATAATGATTTTTCCACATTAATCGCATCAATTTGCCAAATATTTTGTAACAATCTGAGATACATGACAAAATGTTTTCACATATCAATGAATGAAAAGGCAAAAGCAATTTATTTTTTATGCACAGGAATAGCTAGAAATAGTGAGCGCTGGAGTAGTGCCTGGAACCTGAAACATTGTTACCAAGGCCGTGTTGCAGTTTAGAAGGTTGAGGGGACAACAAAAATGCTCTAAAATAATGAGAGCACTTTATACAGGCCAACAGCTTCCTGTTCTCATTAAGGCTACTAGAGATGTTGGCCTTCAGGTAAATTCAGGTAAACTGTGAATACAACAGTGCTAAACATGCCGTGCATTGCCTTAGTGTTAAATTTAAAACGATCAGCCAATTTATACTAATGCATATTTTCAGTTTACCTGAATTTACCTGAAGGCCACTTATCTCTCTAAAGGTATCGAGAACAGAACAGGAAACCGACGGGTTTTCAAGGCCCCCCCCCCCCCCGCATTTATCCCGATGGGTTTATCGAGATGGATTTTGAACTGTAGCAGTGTTTTGGCCTTTACGGTTTAGGCAGATAGGCATTTCCATGGATTTATAACCCTATGGATGAAAAAAATCTGTTTTTTGTCATACATTGTGGCTTGTTGAACTTGACACCATTGCTGTTGTGTTATACCTGACCTTTTAAAGAAGTGGTTTGGATCAATATCCTCGAAATTGTTCAATATTTCAAAAGTTTCGATGAGATCCGTCCTCTCATGCTTGGTTTGTAGTGTTGTTAGACCCGAGGCCCTCAACCGTTACTGGGATGATAGTCGACTTAGCTGTGGGATGATAGTCGACTTAGCTCTGGGATGATTTTTGTTGCCCACTGTTGAACTTTCTCCAAGACAGCTATGTCTATTTGACGATGAGGTGTCCAAGCTTGGATACAATAATCTATGAGGGCCGCACCAGAGATTTACACAGTTGAATAACTACCTTCTTTTCCTTAAAGTCAAAGGTTTGTTTGACTATCCTTTGTTTTTTTTTGCAGTTCCCACTTGTGCAACTTTCAGTGATTGGTGGACTCTGATTCCAAGGTTCCTTCCTTTAGCAATCTGCTACAAGATAATGTTGTTGATTTGGTAGTTGTGATGTGCATTGTTATGCCCCACATGCAAGGTCTTGCATTTTTCGATATCAAGCATTTGCCAGTCTTACAAAGTTTTGTTTAATAAAGCAATAAAGTACTTCAATCTCTTACCACATAGTCCATAGACGTTTCCAAATACTAGTTCTAATTAACTTAAATTCAGTACTGTTGATAAATTTATCTAAACTTGGCCTTTGCTTTTTTCTCATCTTGTATAATCTGGTGGAGACGTTCTAGATCACTCTTGACATTACGCAGTAAGATGGAAGACGCACACAGAAGTCCACCCCACATGGCGCCAGCAAGACCACCGCAACATATATCCTGGCCTGTTAAGTAAAGTCCTACAACAAAGAAAATAAATTGGAATTATTAATAAAAATTTGATTGTGTCTGAAACACTTCCTCAGAAGATGTATACAGACATCAGTATGACTACAATACAAATTACTGCCTGTATTACTAATTGTGTTCCTTGTAGATATAAACATTGTAGTGCAAAGTGTGTGTTGTACAGAATGTTCCGTATAACTTACCTGGAACATCAGTTTGTGGTCTAAGTATTGCATTACTCTGAAGGGAGAATCTTTCCGTAGTGTGGTCCAGCCCACAGACCTCGCCCCGTTGTGCACCAAAATAATATCGGTTGGACAACGGAGTGCCAATGTTTACGTAGTCAATATGGTCCTGGAAAAATCATTGAATTATTTATTTATTTCAAAACGATACAAATGGATGTGAAAGTACATACATTGGTGAATAGGTTGTGCATTCTTACAAAGCCACTATACACAGCATTTCCACTCAATCCATTTGAGTGGATCGACCACTATCAGTACCTTGGCATCACTATCAGCTCTAACAGGGTAAAGAAAGAGGAGCTGAACTAATTTATAGGAACATGGAAAAGTTGTTTCAGGGACCTAAAAGCAATGACCTGGAATGGACATGGGGCTTATATTACCGTGCTTAAAATGATGTACACAGCCTATGTGCGCTCTGTCATAGACTATGTCGCACTAGTCTTGTGCACTTATTCTCAAAGCGATATGAGAAGACTTGAAAGTATACTAAATGAAGCCATGGCAATTATTCTTGGAACCCGTAAAACTGCCAAAACATCGAATCTACGAGCAAAGATGTCTCTCCCCAGTGTTAAAAGCAGAGATAAGGAATTTAATGCTAAGCTTGCAAGATAGCCAAAGAGTCCCACTACTATGTTACTGTCAAAAACGCAAAAGCAAAAAATGGCATTATCGATCAGTCTGCTACCCGAAGAACTTCACCTGCTTGAGCAAGCACGTGAGCTCATGCCGGTTGAGAGGTTACCTCCCTGGGAGGATGACCCATGTAGGATTATTATAAATGAGATGACAACAAAAAAGTCAGACATGCTACCACAAGAAATGATGCGTAAGTATTTTGAGGAAATCTATAAGCCAGAAGTTAATTAGATAGTCAACACTGATGGGTCACCTAATCCTACTAATGCACAGGGCTGGTGCAGCATACACTGTAATTAGGAATAATGTCTTTCAGAACGGAAATGAAGAAAAAACACGTACCAAGAACAATGCGTCTTCAACGCAGAGCTAACTGGCATGTTATGGCGTTAAGATTCCTTGAAAGAAACACTAATGGTGCCGTGACCTGCACTGTTTCAAAAGCAGCATTATATAGCCTTAGTTTAAGGAAAGGAAGGTGGTGATTCAATTGTATAAATAACTGGTGCGGCTCCATTTGGATTACTGTATCCAAGCATGGAGACCCCATCTTCAGGACATAGCTGCTCTGGAGAACGTGCAACACCGGCCAGGGGGGTAGAAATAGCCTAAGCTACTCTATCCCTTTGAGATGTATTTTTTCTTGTCTCAATAAACATACTTGAACTTGAACTTGAACACCGGCCAACAAAAATCCTTCCAGAGTTAAGTCATCTCTCGTATCAGGAACGGTTGAAGGCTCAGGGGTAACAACACTGTACACCAGGCATGACAGGGCAGATATCATTGAAACTTAAAATTCTGAACAATTTGATGGATGTTGATCTGGAAAATGTCTTCAAAAGGTCTAACGTGATACAAACAAAGAACAACGGTTTCAAGCTCGACAAGCCACAATGCAGGACTGAGAACAGGAGATGCTTATTCACCTGCAGGGTCATAAACCCATGGAACCGCCTTCCTGACGAAGCCGTAGAGGCTAACATTTTTTAATTTCAAAATCAAACTCAAAAAAATTATCACGGCAAACGGGGGAACCTTCGACAAGCCGCCGGCTTCCCGTCCTTGTCGAGGTCACTAGTGGTTGTGGCCCTCGGGTAAAAAAAAAAATAGAAAACCTTGCGGTAGTCGCCGAAATCAAGAGCTGTGAGTTAGACATGACCAATAATCTGGGATAATTCACTTGGATTCTGTGTTTGTTGCTGTGAACTAATTACCCCAAGATAACCCATGAGCCGTCGGCCGTATTCAACTGGCGACATTGCAAGAGGTGGTGGTTCAGGAAAAGTAATTTGAGACAGTAATCAGAGTCCCTTGCTCTGTGCGCCTCGTCTAGGGGGGCCAAGTTTTGATCTCTAGTTCTCTGTAGGCTTTTAATGACGGCTGAGAGTTGTATGTGTGGAGGTATTTCAAGGTGGCTAGCACAAGGGAGGCACTGAAGGCCCCCTACAGAAAACAAGGGAAACCAGCAACCAGGTTATGACGCAGCCAGGTAGGTATGTCAGGTATAAGGGAAGTCTCGGCTGGACAAACCCTGACAATAAACTCTTGGCGGAGAAATGTACTGTATAGGCAGTCCCAAACAAGAACAATCACTTACGCAACTTAGACACACCCCGGCAAAAGTACAAAGTCCTAGCACACCTCAGGAGCAGGGCTAGGTGCGTTCGGAAAATGTGAGACAAGGGACGGGTAACTACAATACTCATCAACAAGCCTCACAGCGGGGAACAAGTCTTATGTGCTATTGGGATACACGCTAGTTAACTAGGTGACAATTAAATTCAGATCATAGGGGAGACATCTGAACACCCCCCTGTCCCAGAGCAGATATCTCTGGTGGGGGCGGGAAAGACACAAGTTGAATATCAAAGGAAACCTGCCCTACAGTTAGAGTGAAATACAAAGCCTTGGCACATGCAATGTGGATGTCATAAACACAAATATAAAACATAAAACAAAGCAAGGGCTCCTGGTGACTGTTCCAGGTAAACCAACACTTGGCCTATATGTGAAGCTGATGAGCGGATGAGCCCGTTCAAAGACTTTGTGGGCAACAAGGCTGTTACAAGACAAGGGAGAGAGTGGGGGTGTGGAGGGGTTGGTTGATTGGGATCCCAGTGACCTGGGAAGTCATTTGGAATAAGTCAGGTGCATCACAAGTAGGGTGTTTACATCACAGCAATGTTTTTGAGAAAACCAGTAGGAATTGTGTAAAACCCTGGTTCGACTTCAGTGGAATCCTCGAGAAACCTAGAGGATTCAGATGAATCTCAGGTTGCATTTCTTTTGCCAAGTCGTGGTATAGTTGTCTAAGGCATGAGAGTACCCAGGGCACAGGTTCGAATCCCCTTTGCGGTTCCTACTGATTTTGTTTTACTACAACCCGTTCTCGCACTTTCGTATAGTCAATATTGACTTATTAAATACGTGCATATGTGACATACTTAACATACTAGTTTACCTTGAAATGGTTCATAGAAAACACCGACCTTACCTAACCTTCTTAGTATGTTATGATAAGCATCTTATTGCTTCGTAATTACAATTATTACTTAACCTATTATAGGTATAGATTAAGTAATAATTGTAATTATATTAAGTAATTATTATAAGTAATAATTGTAATTATTATACCTATTATAGGTATAGATTAAGTAATAATTGTAATTACGAAGCAATAAGATGCTTATCTTAACATACTAAGAAGGTTAGGTAAGGTCGGTGTTTTCTATGAAGCTTTTCAAGGTAAACTAGTATGTTTAGTATGTCACATATGCACGTATTTAATAAGTCAATATTGACTATACGAAAGTGCGAGAACGGGTTGTTTACTGACACATCATGTTAATGTGATTTCTTTGTGCAAATGTTTGCTTTGTTACCAGAGAGTACCTACTTTTCTTCAAGCATTGTATTGTTTTGTTGTGTTTATGATTTTTGTCGGGGAATGTGTGATGTTTTGGGTTGATCTCTTATCCCAAAGTGACCTTCAGCTGGAAGAGATCTAGATTTTGGTCTTAACTCACATTGCAAGTTTCCCAAAGACCTGAAGACTTGGCTGGATCAACTGTGTACAACTTTGTAAGAATGTACCGCTCAATTATCAATGAATGTATTTTCATAATCCAAAACATATTCACGTAAATAATAACTAAAAAATAAATAACAAAATAACAAAAAATACAAAATAAATATAAATAACTAAATAATAATATCAATATAAATAAAAATAAAAAAATAAATTAAATAAATTAAATTAATAATTATGGTGCAACATATACTTACCCTGATTGATGGAAACAGCTCACAGGCTTTTTCAAGAGCCTTGTGGGCAAAAGTCTTCTTTATTGATTCGTACTCATCGCCACGCTTCATCACGCGTTTATTTTCCCACTCTTCCATCCAACGATATGGCATCAGTATGACCAGAGCCATAGTTGTCTTGCCTGAAAAATACAAGACTAATTAACACTAATAAAAAATAAAAAAATAAAAAATAATGAGCTCATCAATATTTTGTTAAAATAATTTAACTTTTTTAAAATATTCAGAGAAATTATCTGCTAGAGTAACTTTTTTTTATAAAGTTAAAACAAAGTATGTAATTGTAATAATTGTAATCATCATTGTAATCTACTTTGTGTTACTAACTTACCTTGTACAGTACTTTACTATCTAGAAATAACGCCAGGAATATAGTTTTCATTATCGCACCCATACTCTGTTACTAATGCAATATACATAAATTATACTCTTTAAAATTGCTCAAATTTCTCATACTTCAGTCGGTAATTTTATTTATTTGTTGAAGATTGACTGTTCGACTTGTAACTTAAAATCTCCTGCAAGTTTTGAGTATGCTTTTTAAGACTTGCCTGGAATGCTATGAGTGTTACTGGCTTTCCAAAAATACACTGTCCGATGTGTGATGCTCGCTCCCTAATGAACTAAAAAATTGTCCAACCTGTACTACATTCAAAAGTAGAACTATGAAGTATCTAAGTTCATCCTTATAGTAGGAAGATAACCCACTCTCCCAAAATATTACAAAAGAGAAATGCAACTTCATCAGTTTATAATGTAGTTATTATCTGATTTCAAATTCTGTTACAATGTACCTATTGTAACAATTTATTGGTTAGCTTTAGTACCCGAAATGCTATGCGTGTGCTAGGCTTTGCAACAGTGTACGGACTTTTACAACCCATTGTACCTTGTATATAAATAAATAATAAAATTAATCATTAAAATCTATACCGAAACTACCTTTTGTATCTTATTGTATACAGTACATTTATAAACAATATCAATAAAACATTGTATTATTCATCTAAATATGAGATACAGTTTACATGTGAATATTACGAATATGCCGTATATGTATCTTGAGACAAATTAAATTTATTTGGTTTCATATTTTTGTGTGGCTAGAGGAGCCAGAGACCAGCTGGTAGGCCGTAGGCTCGTCACAACCCTAAGACAAGAACGCTATAACTGTGAGTCTGCAGAGTTTCAAAAGTAGGCCTCTGATATTCTGGGGCGGACGTTATCAGTGAGAGAAAACATCACGACATGCTAGAGTCTAGATCAAGATGGTGGACGGAGAGGTGGTGTTGGATAGCGTGATTAAGGGGCTTTTGCACCGTCCTGAGTTTCAGCTATGCCGCTATTTGCATTTCATATATTATTCAAAGCAGTAGTCTTTTTTTTAAGTTAATATTACTCAAAGAGTCCAGGCTTCGTACCACATAACACAGTTAACTAATATATTCTTGGAGGATAACCATCTCTCTTAAAACCTGCCTCTACCCACCCGGTGAGCACAGTATCCAAAGGTGGTGTTGGTTCGCTGTTGAATCCATGTTAATTTAATATTGGCGACGTCGATACACTGTTAAATTGGCGCTGCTCTTGGATTTTGTGCCCACTGTTTGTATGTTAAGCTTTCTTAACGCTATGCGTGTTAGTGGCTTTACAAGAATGTAAAAACATCAATGCTTTGTATTCTCATAAACCCAATATACCGTCTTGTACTTGTGTGTGTGTGTGTGTGTGTGTGTGTGTGTGTGTGTGTGTGTGTGTGTGTGTGTGTGTGTGTGTGTGTGTGTGTGTGTGTGTGTGTGTGTGTGTGTGTGTGTGTGTGTGTGTGTGTGTGTGTGGAGTTGTCTTCAAGAATTAGCTTAAAGCATATTTTAGAATTTTACAAAAATTTTACACACAAGGGAATTTCTGTTTCCAATCAGGATCTTTGGTAGAGGGGAAGGAGACGAACAGATGAGGAATTTCTGCATCAAGAGCTTCTTCCCGGCTAAGATTCCAATAATCCACAGTCACCTGGATAAATAAAAATTGGAAAACAGTTAAAACTTTTGTTTGTTTGTATTTTAACATTAATTTTGAAGGTATTTAATGAATACTTTTGTGTAATAATTAACAATAAGTACATTCAAATATATATACACTATACTTGAGCACTGTATAGTGTTATAACATTCTAGTGATTTTAGTGAACAGTCCCTAGGTTGTGTACATAATTAGTATTATTGTATATTTTTAATTATTACAAACTCGCAGTCGACTGTAATCAACCGGCAATTTCTAGAGGAGCCTCGTTGGCTCCCTGAAGTCATATTCATGAGACTGTTTCATACTAAAGGGTCACATCAACCACGGCTAGTTCTTTTTCGCTTACCAGGGAGCACAAAGCACAAAGCACAAAGCACTTACCTGGCACAAAGAGAACCTGGCGTCATCTCAGAGGCGCAAAGAGTTGCGCCTCTGAGATGGCGCCACCTCCATCCTCACTAGATCCGCCACCTCACTAGAAAAAGCTTCCAGGAAGTCAACACAGCTTTACGCAGAACTGGATGGGGTCATAAAAAATAAAGCATTGAAAACCGCTAAACATCTACCGCAAACAAGTGACACAGAACAAGGGACTCAAAGGAGCTCGAAACTCGTTTGTAAAGATTTCCACCACCAGGCAGCCAAACCCGGGCCCCCAGCCGGCTCCTTAAGTCAGGTTCTGGACCTGATTAACAAACCCACGAACCTGAAGGGCGAGGTGGGAAGTAGAAAGCTACCGGAGCTCCTCCAGAAATTAGCGTTTCATTACATTCAACACTGGGTTTCTCGAGAAAGACCTTTGTGGCTCCAAAAGGCTAATCTGACTATAGAGAACAAGAAAGGAACAAACCAGGAAGGAGAAGAGGCAGCAGGCACTTGGGGCGAAAAGGCGACACCAGGCTGGACAACGTGGCCCAAAGCCATACACGAACAACTGGGGCCAGGAACACTAACCAAATATCGGGCCACCAGCACTTTGTTAGAACGACAACCCCCCCTCCCCCCCAAACCCCGATATAAGCCCACGGCATTAGAGAAGACAGAACCCAAAGCTGCATATTTACGAACATCATTGGCCAAGGGTGGACTGCACGCTGGATAGATTTGATAATACTGAGGACAACCTGGTAAATGCGAGCCTCGAAACAGGATTAACCAATAAGACAGCCACTGAAACCGAATCAGTGGAATGCAGGTATCGGGAAAGAGCTGCCATAAGTCACAACAAATGATGTACAACCAACCAAACCAACCAAGCAGTGATGACCAAATGACCCTTCCAGAAGCCACCGACTCATTCTTCGCCAGGAAAGACGGCTGCAAATGAATAAACTGCCTGTAGGGTCGAAAGAACAGAACACCCACCTCCGAAGATGAGCCTGAAGCTCCCAACCCAATAGCCAGAAGCCAGAGCCAACAGGAAATCTGCTTTAAGAAAACAAATCACAGGTGAAGAGGAAACTGTAAACCCAGGTGAGGTGAGAAAAACCACACACAATCAAGAGACGAGCATTGGCAAGCCGGAGGTGAAAGAATGCATGAGGCAACTTGCGGAACAGCGCCTCCGAGGTGTCAACACCGAACTTTAATAACTGACTCCACAAACATGAACGATATGAGGTGTCATTCTTTAACATAACATTCCGACCGAAAAATAACCAAGGGAAAAAGAAGAGAACAGAGTGCACCAAAACTGAAGACAAGTGACTAAAAGTGCCAGGCTACCTCATACTGTCGCTGTGAAGACACAGATAAGAGAGCAACAAACCCGCCACCTGCGCATCATACAAATGGCGGGAGAGATGCATCAGAAACTCTAGACGCATAGAACAGAGGATAAATTATAACTAGTGAAGTAAAACGCTGGTCGAATCTGTCATATGAGACAGAGCCACACAAAAATGCTTGCGTTCTGACTCCAGCCGAGAAGCACTAGAAACCAAGGCTGGGCGACCACCAAGGAGCCGGAACGATCATCCTCCCCCAAGGACGGCTCCAGATTGGCCAACACCCAGAGCAACAACTGAACTGGAGGAAGGAGGTAAATACATCTCCACTGCGATCAGTTCAGTCATAAGGCATCCACAGCGAGGGCCTCGGGATCGGTCAATGAAGCCACATAGGAGGGAAGGCGCCAGTTTACAGGCTTTGAAGCTTTGGGGCTCACCTAAGAGCTGACGGAACTGAAAGCACTACAAACTGGTAAGGTGACACCAACATCAGGAATAGAATCGACTTAGAGAGCTGGCAGGAACCCAGGGCCGGGCTACCTGGTGGTGGTAATCGGCACTACGAGTTTCGAGCTCTATGTGACTTGTTTTTGGTAATTGTTGGCGTTTTTTTCGAAGCTTGATTTCTGTAAAGACTTCAGTTGTCTGTAAAGCTGCGATGACTTTCCGGAGGATTTTTCTGGTGAGGTCGTGGATTATGGTCTGCTCTGTGGGGGGGGGGGGGGCAGGTTCTGGCTCTGGTCCCCAGTAGGCCAAAGAGGTCACATCTTTCACATCCATGAATGATGTGACTTTTTAATATGAAGCAATATCAGGAAGATAGCTTCTTGATAGCCGAAAATATATCAACTGAAAGAGCCTAATAACAATTTTGTATCAAGTGACATGGAGACTATCAAATATACTATGCAGCAAGTTATAATGGCTAGTTACCTTGTCGATGTCACTACCAGTAAAAACCCAGGCATTCTTTCTCTTCAGAATATCAAGTTCATCAGCATCACAGTTCATCCCCACAAAGACGTACAAAGACCCAGGACCATGTTTTGCCGTCTGTACTAATGGCCAGAAACGAGATGAAGATGCAACCTCCAGAGGGAGGAGCCGCTCGAATGTGTTGTGCACACCTGGAAGGGAAATCCACAATATATAAAATCTTAAATACAATTTTCAAATAAACTACTTATCTATCCATTTATAGCACTTTCTCTCAGAGCTATTAGCCTTATAATTTTGCCCATATTAAGAATTGGTAGCAACATGGTAATAAATATTTATGAGCGATTTGAAAAATAAAAAGGAATAGTAAAAAAATATAATTTCGTGATTTGAGTACAGGAGGTAATTACAGGACCTTGGACTCAACATTCACCACTCAATGAAAGTTGCACAGCTGGTAGGGAGCAGCAGTCAAGAAAGCTAACCTAACCTTTAGAATAATCAAGCGTACCTTTGACTTTAAGGAAAAGAAAGCAGCGATTCAATTGCTTAAATCTCTAGTGCGCCCCCACTTGAATTACTGTATCCCTGTATCTTCACAAGGACATAGCTGCTTTGGAGAAAGTGCAACACTGGGCAACAAATCCTTCCAGAGCCAAGTCAACTCTCGTATCAGGAACGGTTGAGAGCCACAGAGCTAACAACACGGCAAACCACGCATGGCAGGGCGGATCTTATTGAAAAGTTTAATTTTAAGGGGCTGGGAGCTTCAAAATATTCGTCCAAATATCAAATATGGTATAAAATGTTAAACAGATCTAACGTTATTTGGCATCAACGTCGTGAAAATTTCCATCCCAGTATGTTAAGAAATGGATTTGATATGAATTAAAAAAACGTATGCAAACGTTATTGATAACAATAACACTTCCTTTTATCACTCATTATCCATGAGTTAAACTCATGGATAATGTAGTGATAAAAGATGCAGGCACCTGTCCGAGGCACAAAGAAGAATAGAAGTATAGAAGTAGAGTAGTAAGGAGGGTCCACAAAGTGCATATGCAGCTGGTGCCTTCCAGGATGGCTGATTGCCACCTGGAGGGCAAAGTTTCACACAAATAATAATGTGTAAGTTTGTTATTTTGCTGTATTTTGTTATATATCATAAATACATTGCCCAATGCCGAAATTTCTTATGTCCTCCATTTTCTTTTTTTTTAGAAAGGATGTTTTGTTTTCCCCTCCTTTGTTTCTTATCTGATTTTGTTGTGGCTTCTACATCTTGGAGAATGTATACATGTCATTAAGTATGTGAAGTTGGAACGAAATTGGCCAACATGTAAATCAGCCACAGGTGGCAGAACTTTACTTCATTTTTTGGAGCCGAATTTGTCACAGATTTCAAACTATTTTCTTTATCTCTTTAGGTTGTTTTGCTGAATGGGGACCAGATGAGGGCTTTATCACTTATATAAAGTATACTTATATATCTCCTAATCCATTATCCTTATCTCTATATTTTGTTTTTTGGGGGAATTATTATTTCTTGACTGCATTTCAATACGTATTGACCTACAACTTTCACATATTTGAGTACGAATGCCAAGCAATGTTTATTAAAACTTACAAGGAAATCCATGAAGTAGAACGATCATATATAATGCCGAGAACTTGAATTGAATTTTTCTCTATAATTAGATTTTCAGTTTTGAGAAGCTTTAATTAATCCAGTTTCTGATCGATTCTCACCATTTACACATATGTGCAAAGTTGTCTGCTCTACAATATTTTTTTCATAAACGCCAAATTTTTGGAGTTATCAATTTTTGTGTCTAAATTTGGCGCATATTTCAAATTAACGATTTTTTTTACAGTAAACTATACTGCCAAACTATATTCTAAAGCATAATAAAGGAAGATGATATGCTATTCTGGGACCATAATACTAAATGAACAATTGGTGATATTTTGCATTTTTAAAGTCCATTTGAAAATCTGAAAGTTTTAAATTATAAATATATATAGTTTTTGTTTTTCTCGTTAGGGGGGTGATCTATTAGAAAAAGTTGCCGCATTTACCATGTAGATTATGTAAACAAAATTGAAGGAGTTTGAGAAACACGGTTCTCGGTTCCTTAAAATACTGAACAATTTGAAGAACGTTGATCCGGAAAATTTCTTTAAAAGGGCAGATGTAACAAAAACAAGGAGTAACGGTTTCAAACTCAAGTCACAATGTAGGACTGAGATGCCTTTCCACCCACACGATTATAAATCCATGGAACTGACTACCCGCCCAACCCGTAAATGCCATAACTGTTAACTTTTATATTTCAACGTTATATTTCATACAACAAGCTAGAGACCTCGATGTTGGGAAAGGGCTTCTATTAATATGAGATACATTTCTGCCTACACGTATCAGGAAGCAAAGACAGTAATGTAACTCTTACCTAAAACTAAAATATTATTACTGTATTGAGAAATAATTCTTAAGTCAAACAGCAAGGTGGAAGAAATAATATTGGCTTTAAAATAAAGCAAATTCAATACGTAACAAGAATGAAATTAAATAATGAATAAACTATGTTGGATACACACCTGCATCAGAGATGATCAGAGGAGCTGTTACATTCACCAGTTCTTTTCCTTTCCTCACCTTAACTCCACATGCTCGACCTTTTCCATCAATAATAATTTGGGTTACCTGTAAAAAAAAAATATGCTAAAATATCCACGCCCTTATCTGGTGGGCCCACTGCAACCCCCTTAACTATACACGAGTACTGCCCTGCATTAGGAGGAGGAGGATTGTAACAGTAATTTTATTCACAATGTGCTCACAAAGAAAGTAAAGTAAGGGACAATTGTAGGTACAGGGGGTTGCACACAAATATAAAGCCACTATTATGATAAGCTTTTGGGCAAAACATTGAATATTTTAGGCAAAAGATTATTTATAGGTATAACGGGGGGTAAACCCTTAATACTAAGAATCTAACATAAGTGAGAATGTTCAATAAATATAACAAATGAAATACAATATAAAGGTGATACTTAATGTTGATAAACAGACTATTGCATTATGGAGTCTGTAGTTCTAGCAACACACCAGAAATTATTTTTAACATTAATAACAAAATAAATACACATATTTATTAAAACAACTAGGACATAACAGTAAATAAAACGGAAAGATTTAATGGGATAAATACGTATAAAGATAAAAATACGCCTTTAGTAAGCAGGTTTACAAAAATAGATACATTAATTAGATGATACTGAGGTCAGGCATACATTTTTAGTAAATACAATTTAAGATATCAGTAAGGCAACAATATTTTATTTCGTTGTAGAAATATCACTGAAATTAGTTGCATGAAATTAAGTAAATATTTCCTAGTCTCATTTAAACTGGATGGCACAGCTTTTAATTACATTTGGGAGGCCATTCCACAATTTAGGACCCCTTAATTTGCATAACATTTCTGCTGTGGTTGATTCTTGTTCTAGGATTATAAAAAAAGATATTGGTTTCTCGTGTGGTGTGCATGAGTTCTATTACAGCCCTCTAACAAGTGCTTAAGGTGGAACTGGCAATGTAGTTCAGAGTTTGCAGACGAGGAGTCACAATAACGTGGCTGAAATATGCTGACCAAACCATACACTAGAAAGTGAAGGGACGACGACGTTTCGGTCCGCCCTAGACCATTCTCAAGTCGATTGTCGACTTGAGACCTGAGAATAGTCCAAAACGGACCGAAACGTCGTCGTTCCTCTACTTTCAAGTGTGTGGTTTGGTCAACAGAGTTCAGAGTTTTATTGATATAGAGAACTCCTGAGAGTATGTGCAGCGACTTGATATTTATCATTGTCAAAGATTTTGGTAAGGGACCAGAATGTTGTCTGGGGACTGGCGTTTGCTATTGTTCTAATTGCTTATTTATATTGCATAATTATGGGTCGGAGGTAATTAAAGATGTCACAGACGGATACCATAGGAGAGAAATGAATATATGAGCGAATAATAATGAGTTATTAAGGCAGGGCGAGGAACATTATCTTATTTTGGATAAAATGCCTACTTTTTTAGTTATATTTTTATATGGCATTGAAAATTCAGTTTGTTGTCATTGTGAGCACAAAGAACTTCCCATCTACTCTGTTCATAATTTGGGTATTGTTATTTCTTAGATTTATTTTATTGCTGGACTTATTACCAAACAATGTGCAAAATGTTTTATCGATGTTCAGAGTAAGTTTGTTTGCAGTCAACCATAATTGGACTTTATTTAACTCAGTATTGACTGCCATTTAGAATTGACCTGAGGGCCACTAACACACTAGTGGCCTCAACGAGGACAGGAAGCTGGCGGCTTTTCACATCTCTCCTGATTTTTTTTCAGCTGGATTTTAAAATTTAACAGTTTTGCCATATGTGGTTTCGGCGGGTAGGCGGTTCCATGGGTTTGAAAAACTATGGATGAAAAAGCATCTCCTGTCGTCAGTCCTACACTGAGGAATGTTGGGCTTGAAACCGTTGCTCCTTATTTGCGTTGTATCTGACCTTTTGAAAAAATTGTCTGGATAAACATTTTCCAAATTGTTCAGTATTTTGAACGTTTCGATGAAATCAGCCCTTGAAACGTTCAAATTACTGCACAATTTGGAGGATGTTGATCCAGACAACTTCTTCAGAAGGTCAGATGTGAGACTCGGGTAGCATCTGGTCTTAGCTCAGAAATACACACAATCAAATCTATAGTAACTCACCTCGGCACGAACGAGAACCTTGCCACCTGCAGCCTCAATCACCGGAATAATATGAAAGGGAATTTCTGATGCTCCTCCAACAGGGTATGAACTACCTGAAATATAAATAAAACCACTGAGTTTTTTTTTAAGATAAGGATATTTGAGGAAAGTAAACCAATTTAATATGGTGGGCTTAATGTTCACTTTACCAATACACCGAGTACAGCATAATGTCCACGGATATACTGTAGGTCAGCCCTACAAATACCCGGTAACAAGTCAATTGCGTGTATAAGCCTATGCAGTGGCGGCTCGCCCATAAGAGCTACTGAGCTGCAGTCCCCCCCAGATACTGCCAGGTGTACGACGCTGTCAACCTCATACTAGAATAATGAGCAACAAATGTGTCATAACAAAAAGTCTATTTGTTGTTTTAAATATATTTATAACTGAATTTTGATTATGTTTATTAAAATAAGACAAAAATAGAGGTTTCATGTTGTATGATGTAGGCTTTATCGGCGAGATATCTGGCAACATTGAACTGCATTCGGGGCAACCCTGGTTCAGTTCCTGAACCTATTATGTGCCTCTATAACCCTTTCAACCACCGCCCACGGGATGGGTATGGGGTGCATTATAAAAAATACTAAAAATCTAATCCAGTTACTCCGTCAGTCCCGTGCTTAGTGTTTACACAGTGAGGGTGGTGTCATGTGTTGCTAGTGGTGCTTTAGTTACTTTGAATAATTTATAAGTTTAATGAACAATAATCATTTGCATTCAACATTTTCTGAAACTCTGAAGCCACGGAAAGTTTTAATAACTCCAATGACAACGGCAGAAGCAGAAAGGTGGTTTTAAACTTTGATAATATTTTTTATTAACAAGCTTAGGTATACACAGCAATGTGCTCCTACCCTATTCTGAATGAAAGATTACTCAGCGTAGATGAAAAACTAGCTATAAGTTCATGTTAAATCCCCATCTCACAGGATGGTTTGAAGAGAATTAAAACATTTTTGTGCAGTACGATGGCGAATGAGAGAGACTGTTCTAGCAATGATATCGTTTGAAAATATAATAACAAATAAATGATTTTTGTGAACAAGTAATAAACTATTTTACTACATTGAAGAGCCGACGCATTGATTTTCTTTTCAATTAACATTAACGTCACCACTTCAGCCATCCATACCTCCACCAACCTGACAATGACGACCCCTACGGGCCTACAGTACATACAAGGTGTGTTTAGTAATGTTTTTCGTTGAATTATTTCTTTCTTACTTTAATTATTTTGTCTACAGGCTTCCAGTAGGTAAGGGTGGGTCTCAGAGGCTTGACTTCCTTCTTAAAGGAAGCATGTCTGTACCAGTCCTTAGCTCACGAAGTTACTGTTGGAGGTTTTGTACTCGACTCACTATCGGGCATACCAGATTCAATTCCCAGGCGGGAAGGAAATGGTTGGGCACATTTCCTTTCACCTTGCAATAAATAAGTACCTGGGAATTTGGCAACTGTTATGGGGTTGCATCCTGTGAAAGGTCAGTAGTTCACACATGGGGGGATCATCGATACATGCCAATAGTGTATATGTATACAGCATGCAAAGGCTTCCTGTCCCAATAAAATTAATTAATTATAATCGCAATATCTTCCAAACTAAAGACTTTATTATCACACAGAACTAGTACTGCCACATTAAAATTAAAATGTCCAATATTAATGTCAATAATTATTTAACATCTACAACATTTAAAAGAACTCTACAAAACTATTACCCTCTTCGAAGTGTTTGTATAGGTATGTCTGCATTGGGAAGCCAGTCATGCTCGGGGGCGTACCAAAGTCACCAAAACCATAGCAGAGGATATCACGCAGCTCCTGATCCTTCGTCAGTCCCTAAGGGTAAAGGTAAAATTAGCAAGTTTCATTGACACAAAATACAAAAAATCATACATACAAAATGCCTTTTTTTTACTCTTACTTTTATCTGTTAAATTAAGGACGTGCCCGAAATGCTATCCGTGTTAGTGGCTTTGCAGGAATGTAAGAACAATGTTATGTACTCTCACAACCCAATTTACCTGAGGGCCACTAAAGTACCAGTGGCCTCGATGAGGACAGGAAGCCGGCGGCTTGTCAAAGGTTCCCCCTATTGTCCTAATTATTTTTTCAATCTAGATTTTAAAGTTCAGCAGAGCCTTCAGCAGAATACCAGCAGTACATTCTTGAATATATATATATATATATATTGTGACGATAATCTCCTTCAAGAGATTGAGCCTGCTCTTCCCTCCACAATTACGTCGTTAAAACTATATAAAACCACTAAGGAAGAAATGTCCAACAACGACAACCACACCAGCAAGGTTTGCCAGAGAGCAAAACGCATGCAGCCAGGGACACCTGCTCCGACTCAAACCGCCAAACTACCTGTCTTACTACCGGCTCCGCTGATTGGTCGCCGGTCTGGCTGCAACTGCACTCGCCCCCCCCATACTACTTGATGTCTGGGGTCGCCACGACCTCAGACCTCAGAATATTCAGTGCTTCCACGGTTACCACTCCTCCCGGCTAGACGTTAGCGTGTACTGAGAGAGGTGGTAGCTTAAAGCCAATATTCCAGCACCTTACCTTTATTTTTGTATTGCACTTCTTGTTATTTTGTCTTAACGTAACTTTTCATTGTGTCATTTAATTATTCTTATTATTTTGATTGATTTTATTATAAGAATTTGTTTGTGCATTTTATTCATGTTTTATTTCTTTAACGTAATTAAAATTTCATTGTTAAAATTTACTTGTGTTTTGTGTGTCTTCTCCTTACCTTACCACAGACGAAGTTCCAGTTTTCTATTTTTTTTTATAACTATGTGACGAGGCCATACCCCTAGCCTTAAACAGCCGAACACCAACGCGTTACCGTCACAATATATATATATATATATATATATATATATATATATATATAAAATGAATAAAGAAGAAACAGGACATTCTTGCTAGAGTGAGGGTAGGGTACTATTACAGATATGAAAGCAATGACAACAGGAAGCTTTCTCACACGTGATTCTCAACGTTAATCGCTCACACACAATAGTGCCGCCAGATGGTGCTTACATACCCATACAATTTCCTTGCACGTCTTGTTTTCCCACTCGTAGAAACTGGTAAAACACTTGAGAAGTCCAGTAACTCTCAGCAGCCATACTGCCCACAGTGGAATAAACTTCACAAATGCTGATTTGAAAATTTCCGGATGAACCTCATCCATCATCTTGAAGAATCTGACAAAAATAAAATAAAATTGGGTCAAAGAACAACAAAATTGTTTAATTGTAGAGTACTCATAAAAATATATTTAATAAATAAGGAGAGGAAATTTTACTTCTAAACTGGCATGCATTATTCTTTTTTTTCAGTCACTTGTCAGGGATCACTCCATCTTTTCCAGAAATATCAACTTAATTGTCAGGAAATACAGCTTAAGAATAAGCGATATATATATATATATATATATATATATATATATATATATATATATATATATATATATATATATATAATGGTGTAACAGGAATATTTATGTAGAACCTCCATACTATTTATGCCCTACTTAAATTTGGCGGAGATGGACCCTAGGAAGGACCCTTATATTACATTCCTTAGCTTTGGGGGCCTCCACGACCAACGTGATTCGAGTTTTAGGCGAAGCTAATTGATAAGGATAAGGTTGGATAACAAGAACCTTTCAAACAAGACATGCAACACCACTGATGATACTATTTACTACACTAGTGCTAGTAAATAGTATCTAGAGCAGATCATCATTACACACTTACATCCCCATTCAATGTTGGATAAATTGCTGACCTGAAGAGTAATACACAAGACAAATGCCTCTGACATTTCTAGAGTGAGACTCGAGCAAAGCAGAAATGCTATGCAAATCAAGGGTCTCAAATCATAGAATGACCTGCCAAATGTATTTAAAAGCTGTGCATCTCCCACCCGGTTTAAATGAGACTAAGAAATATTTGCTTAATAACATGTAATTAACTTCACTCACATTTCCCCCTTTAAAGACATTCTTGTGTTATTATCTTACATTTTTAATTGGTAATTTCTTCATAAATTTTCATGTAATTGTATCCACATTTGTAAAATTGCTTACTCAAGTCCTATCTGGTCTCGATTAATTTTAAGTGTTTGCCCCATAAAACCATGACATTTTACTAATTTACTCTTATGTTAGGTTGCTAGAAGCTCTACTAAATTATACCTTCGTACTTTCCTTCTGTTATTAATATTAAAAACTTCTGTACGTTTGCTAGAACTACAGATTACATAATGCAATAGCCTATGTATCATCATTATCACCTTTGTATTGTATATCTTTTCTTATATGTCTTGAACATTCTCACTTCTATTAGCTTACTTTTCTTTTAGTTTTAAGTGTTTACCCCTTTATGCCATTAAATAAATTTTTATCTACATTATTCTTGTGGAAAATTCCACTCATCATGTTAATATTATTATTATCTAAGGAATGTATTATTCCATATCATATTTATATATCAGATTCATTATCTATTGATCATATTTACTGTATCTACAACAGCATCCTTCATGACCATTATTAAAGTTCACCATTGGGTTCAATGCTTATATAATATTGTAGATGTGATCACAAGAATCTAGAAGCTTCCATATAATAAAAAAATATGGCTGGAACCAAAGTTATAGCTTCCAGTGATGTAATTTAAAAATCCCTAATAAAGAACAAAAGGTACTATCAAGTACTGTTAATAATAATTAAATCCACTAAGTAATCATCCTGTGATATAACTTTATCACAATAATCAGTCTAAATAATGAAAATCCATATATAAATTGAGAGTCCTTAGGCAGCGAGGTAACGCCTCATCGTCTAGTAAGTTCTGACTTAATCTTTTCAGTTAATGAACCTCTTTATTGCTGAATATTCATATAATCAGAATACCCATATCTTGTGTATAAAATTCTTTACTATAACTCATCATACATTTAATTGCCATATCCATAAATCTTAATTTTGTCTAGTTTATTTTATTGCATATAATTTTGTTACGCATATTTCGATATACCTTTATACCTTGTGTTCAACAGCACAGATATTCCTAGGACTAGAGTGTGTATTTAGATCAGGTCATAGATCATGAACCTCACCAGTGCTTGCAGTCATAGAGCAGTTTTATCATATCCATGTAAAAATTACATGTTAAAAGTGTGGGTGTACCCGCAGGTATATTGTGTTCTGCAATTTATGAGCCAGATCAGCCTTAAGGACTCTACCTGTTACAGCCCATTACCAGTACCTAGGTCACAGAGTGTACTTACAATCCAGCATAGGAACCTTGCATTCTTTTTTTTTTTAATAATAATAATTTTTATTTAGGTAAAGGTACATACATAAAGAGATTTTACAAAGTTTGTTGGCTTTATAGATAGAGCTAGTACATACAATGCCTAAAGCCACTATTACGCAAAGCGTTTCGGGCAGTTTAATTGTAGAGTACTCATAAAAGGATTCAGCTAAAGTCCTTTTTTTTGCAGTTTATCAACAATTACTGAATTTATTTAATTTTAAATTCATAGTTCTAGGAACTACATTTTTGTTCCCATGTAATTCTCCTCTTCATCAATAATCCTGGTATATTCCTCCCACAATTCTAAGTTTTTCCCAAAACGGTTTGCATATTAGTGGCTTCATTTGTATATGTAACTCCTGTCCCTACAATTGTTCCTTCCTTTTATGTTTTTTGTGTACAAAAGCTTATGAGTAAAAATTATAAATATAGGAAATAAATGGCTTATCTCTGTTCAAAAGAGAACTTGATGAACACCTTCAATTGACATTTGATCACCCAGGTTGTGACTGATACATCAGGCTGCTAACAACGGCATTGAGAATCCTGGTTAACCAGATCACCGACCGGAGACTGGCCAGAAACCGGGCCGCGGGGACGTTGATCATCGGAATCATTATCGACAGGTGTCGTTCTGGAACTCATTGTTGATACACATTAAACTGTTACTAGCATATCAAGACTATCTTGCTGAGCTAAATTTATTTTGGGGGTTCATTTCCTGGGCCCATTATGTGCGTCCTTAACCTTTTTTACTACCGCCCATAGGATGGGTATGGTGTGCATAATAAATGAACTAAGATAATTTCTTGTACGAAGTATACAACAATCCTGAAAGTAACATCAGAGAACTCCATACATACTTGTCAATATTTTTTTCGTCTGCTGGGAATGTTTTCTTGAGATATTGCTTCCATCTGCCCCTGCCACTGAACACTGGATATTTGCGTGGCTCTTGATCTTTCTCAGCAAATACTACATCATCATAGTCATCACCTGGTAATAGAATACCAAATATGTTACAGTGAAGACAAGTCAGTTTACATCACTCCTACTGTATTAAATTGATTACTTATATCTATATACCTTACTAGAGCGAATAACAGTAGATTGGAACCCTTGGGCCAGAAACAAATGGCGAATGGAAATGTTCTTGGTGAATCAGAATGCCGGGTTTGCTTTGTAAAGCTTTCTTTGTAGACAGGCATGACTATAAAAAAAAAATAGCATTGAATGTAATGAAACGCCATTTTCTGGGTAAGCCCTGGAGGCTCCGTGGCGCTATCGGGCTAATATGAGAATCATTAGACGGGGACATTAGTCTGGAGTTCAGCCCACCAGGGACCACGAGCCAGAACCTGGCCCCCTCAGAGAGGTGCAGGGAGCAATGGCCCTGGAAAACCCCGTCATGATTGAGGGAGTTTTCCTTATCTGCCATCGACCGGGGTTAGGCATCCAGAAAGGTAGGCACAGACCCCACATGGAAAGTAAATTACAACCGAAAACCGAACAGAGAGGCAGAACTCTCTCCAATCCAAAGGAAACAAGCAAACGTCACACTCCATTGCCTTGTTGGTCGTCCGCGCAGCCCCCCCCCCCTGCACCGGCGACCCAGCCACTCCAGTTTGAAGGTTAAGTATCAACCATGCAAAAATCGCCGACTGGAGGAAGGGTTGCCAGGGAGCCTCCCGGGTTCACCCACAAAATGGCGTTTCATTACATTCAAAGTTGGGTTTCTGTGGGGAGCCCCTACAGCTCCCTGGAGATACATAACTAAAGATAAGGAAAAAAGAGGGAAGTGGCCACCACACACTCCTCAACGCGAAATCGAGACCACTAGCTGCAACCTGCTACCCAAAACAAAAGCCCAGGAACGTTAACCAAATATCAGGTGCTCAGGACCCTGTTCGACCTCCAAAATCCCTACGCCCGAGTATCAGCCCAAGACATGTTGACCAATGTGGCAAACTTCCGAACGTCATGGGCACGAGGATAAACTGCAGGCTGGCTAGACTTAATAACCTTGCAGACAACCTTGGACACTCGAGCCCTGGAACAGGAACGAGGGAAACCGAATCAACCCAAAGCTCATCCCGCTGAAGCGCGCAGGTAACGGCAAAGAGCCGCAACCGGACACAAGACATGATGCACTCCTGGCCTGACTAACCAAGCATCAATGACCCAATGACTTCTCCGGAAGGCAGCCGTCTCATTCTTCGCCAGAAAAAAATGAGAAGGCTGCAACCGAACAAACCGATTACCAGGACTGAAGGAGCAGAAACTTCTGCGCGAAGGAGAACATGGAGCTCACTGACCCGAACTCATGAGGCTAAAGCCAACAGAAACAAAGCCTTGGAAAAACAATCTTAAACGGAAGGGGCCATCACAAACTAAGGAGAAGAATGATAGGAGAGCACCCTGTCTAAGGACCAGGATGGCTCAGCCGGAACAAGAGCAGGCCAAAGGTGAAACAAAGCCTGAAAAAGCTTATGGAACAGGGCAGAACTAACATCCACCCCAATCGCAAGCAGGAACAGCTTCACCAACGCCACACGATACAAGGCAGCAGTATTAGGCATCAAATTACGGTCCTGAAAAAGCCAAAACAGAAAGAACAAGACAACTATCAGAAATAGAAGACAACCTACAAAGATAGGAAAAAATGGCGGAAAGAACGCCAGGAAATTTCATACTGTCGCCGAGACGAAGCTCTCAGGTGGGACACCATCAACAAAGCCACCTGATCACCATACAAATGGTGATAAACCTGCATCAAAAAGACCAGACGAGAAGAGTGGAGAAGACTGAACCAGCCATGTACCGGACCAGTCCGACCTGCTGGAAGAGGTGGAGCCGCGGAAAACGCCCTGGGTTCAGACACTGAGCAAACAGCGCCTGAAACCAAGGCTGGGCCAGCCATCAAGGGCCATGAGGACTACTCTCCTGTGGTGATACTCCAACTGAGACAGATCCCAAAGCAACAGCTGGACCGGAGGGAAGAGGTATAGGGACCTCCAACTCTACCAGTCCTGCCAAAAGGCATCCACTGCGAAAGCCTCGCAGTCCAGGAAGAGCGCCACATATATCGGGAGACGCCTAGACCACGCCGACACAAAGAGGTCCACTTCCGGAAGTCCGTACGTCCGGCAGAACCAACTGAAGGAGTTGGCGTCAACCGTTCATTCCATGAACGGGAATGAACCGAGACAGGCTGAGAAGCCAGCCGACGAGTCACCCGAAACGACCAGCCCCAAAGAGGAAAGGACCAACGAGAACCCCCATTGGTTCAGGCAATGAACCACCGAAGAACAGTCTGAATGGTCGAACCCTGAGCGACTCGAATCCTCCGAAGCGATAGCCAAAGCTCTGCGAAGTTCTGCCCCGTGCTGTGAGCCTGATGGAAGGACAGATCCCACCACCCCTGGCTGACATAGTGAGCCCTGGCCACAAAGTCCCAGCCGAGAGACGACGCATCCGTGAACACATCGACGGAGGACATGGATGGCGCCAAGGCACTGAACCCTGAAAACCCCAAAGAGAAAGTACGGGACGCAGCAACCGACGCAAGGCTCCCGGAGCACGACCCAACGATCGCGAGAGAGGCGGAAGGAGCCTCCCTGAAGGAACTAGAACAGACGCTGAAGCCAAATCCAACTCAGCGGGTAGACCAGCATGGCGAAGTTCAGATTCCCACACAACTGCTTGAGCAACCGCCGAGTGACCCAGGAGTCCCCTCAGAAACAGCTGAAGGCGGGACCATAGCAACGCCTCCACAGGAAGAGATATGGAAATGGTTCAAGAGTCCCAAACATGACCCAACCATGTCCGACCTGGGACGGAACCTTATTGGACTTCAGCCAGTTCACCAGGAACCTGAACCTGGCAAGCTAGGAAAGAACCACACCCCTGGCGAGCAGACAAACAGGGGTTTGTTCCACACCACACTGGGAACCCATACCAGCCAGTCATCGTGATAGGCCAAAACCTGAACCTCTAGCAGATGCAGACGGGTCACCACGATCCAGGTAAGACGCGTGAATAAACGAAGTGCGAGATTCGAGCCAAAAGGAAGGCAACGAAAGCAGTAAGCCTGCCGCTCCACCACGAAACCCAACCAGTCCCTGAACCCTGGATGAATAGGAACGTGCCAATACGTGTCCTTGAGATTCAGGGACACTATCCAGGCACCCAGCTCCAAAAGAAGCCCGGACCAGAAACTGAGTAGGTATCCGAAAGAAGGAACAAGGAATCCAAGGGTTCAGACGGGTCAAGTCCAGAATGAACCGCAGATCCTCACAGTCCCGTTTCGGCACTGGAAACAGATGGGAAACCCACCTGAAGGACAGGGTCGTTTTGACCACGCTGAAGTGCACCCACTCCGAGATGACCCGACGAAGTGCAGGGGAAGAAGCCTGCCCCAGTAGTATCGAAGCCCCCGAAGGAGGAGGAGCCGCTCAACGCTACCACAGGCCAGATGACATGAGCCGAAACGCCCACGAATCGTGGAACTAAGCGTGAGCAAACAGAGTGAGCTTCCCCCTCCCAGTGCCTTGTCAACGGAGCGAACCGTGAAAGAGCCAACGCCCCTTACGAGAAGCCAACCGACGAAAAGAGCGATTATCGCTCCGATCAGACGACACCAGGCTAAAGGACCTGGTGTCGACGAAGGAAGTGCCGACTCAGAACCTGGCACCAATGGCCCACCCCAACTAGTGGAATCCCGAGCCATTGCACGACCTTTCCGAGAATGCCGAGAGCAGCTACCCCGGAGAACCAACAAGTCCAACATAGGACGACAACTAGACGAAGCCGCCTGCAGAATCTGCGTTACAGCAGCCTCCGCAAACAGTAACAGACAAAAACAACCTAAGACAAAAACCTAAGAGCCGGGGGCCCAAGCGGATTCGAAAGAGAACAAGCACAGCCTGACAGCACGCGAGACGAGAAGCAAAGAACAGACACTGCTTCCTTCAGAACAGGCACAAACAGATGCAAACTACAGCCAGAATTTGTGTTTGAGCCAGAATATGCTCTGCCTTCACCGCACAAAAAAAGTGATACCGTGGACATTAATCGTGCAGTAAGGCAGAGGAAACATAATTGAATATGTTTCTTAAACTAGATTCTTTACCAAGCTTAAACAAATATTATTCAAATTATTTGAATTTCTACATTTAGTGTACTGCATTACAAACTGTAACTTACGCATTGGTGCCCATTCCAGTTGACCATTTGTGATCTGATCAAGATACGTCTTGCATACAGTCTGGGTAGCCATCTCGCCAACATAGTGGATGCCTACATCAAACTCGTAGCCTTTGTCTATGTATGTGTGGCAACAACCACCAGCCTAGAACAGACGATTGGAACAATTTAATATTACTGACACACAAATTTTCATTATATTTCATATAATATGAAATATAATGGTCAAATAGGTTTTAAACAGTCAAATAGGTTTTATGCAGCAATCCATTGAAGGTACTTTATGTTAAAGCAACGTGCGTAAAGACTTGTTATACACAGCATTAATATATATGCTACAAACACGAGGCTTTATTGACACTTTACAAAACTATATATATATATTTACACAAGAAATTCGCCCACAGAAGTACAAAACTGATTCTTACAAGCGGTTGGCATTTAAAGTATCTAGCGTAGAATGTAATGAAATGAAATGCCTCTTCCTGTGGGAGGGGCCTCGGTGGCTGCCCGTAACTAGCTGCTCTGGTTAGGGCCACATTATCAATTAAATCAAAACAAGGTCCTTGTAAGTTAGTAAAAGCCTACTAGAGACCAAAACTTGCCCTACCCCCCCCCCCCCCCCACACACACTAAGATGCAGGGATCATCCTCACCAAGGAATCACCACCAGAAAGGTGGGTGAACCAGTAAACATCCTCAGTAGAGTCAAACACAGGCCAACGGACACACCTGGATGGGAAAGAGGATCCAGAGAGCATTTCATTACATTCAATGCTGGTCCGAGGATAGCTCAACCACAGCCCAGACCTACAAAATGGAGGCCAAGGTTATGATCTTCTGCAGCCTGGGCTCCAGAAAGTACAGGTAACTGTTACTTGGAGTTGCCACATGCTCAATGCCAGGGGCGGGACTGGAGCAAACATGCATGCGTCAGGCAGTACAAAAAATTATGAAGGGCTTCATCATTTTTCCACACTACTGAACGAAACGAGCTGGCCACCCGCCTGGTGCTCAGAACACAGCCTATTTTGCAAATCTGTTCTTCAAGTTAAGAGGCACATTCAGATCATTCCTTTTGGTTTATAGGTGATCTACTGTAAACTGAGTACAATTTGTCTATACATGCTTGAAAATTATTAGTCTCATGAACTTCTCTCACTGAATCACCTACTGCAAGTTCTAATCTGTGATTAAGACAGTGTCAGATTATTATATCAGGGTAATGTTCCTTGAGAATTGTTGCAATGCCAGATTTGACACCAAGCATGACACTTGCCCCATCACTAGCAAATGTTACAAGGTTCTGTTTCATATATAAGTCATCAAACCTTTGATAATTGAGACGGCTCAATAGATGATTAGCAACAGTTGCTGCTTTCTGATCAGGTAGTTCAAATAGATCTAAGAACATGAAATGGGGATTACCTTCCTTATCACTTTCACATATCAGTAAACTATCAAGGTTGTTTTAATGCTCAGGCTTGTTGATTCATCAATGAAAACATAAATTTTGCAATTTATCTGCTTGATATGCTGACAAATTTTATTTTCCTATTAATGACTATGTGATTAATTATCTTTGTGGCACTACTGCAGGAATGCAGTCCCATTCCAATGTTTGCTAAACATTCTTTTTCTTACACTTCTCATTTTGTTTACGAAAGAAAGAAGTCAACATTGATTGCTTAGAAGCCATGACGGAATTGTTTGTGAGAAAAAATGCTTCTGTATTAGAAAAATCCATGGACCACCAGCCACCACTTTACTAATGCCACTCAAACACAGAAGCAGAGTTGCCAACTCAGTGTTTAACACGACGCTAAAACAACCCCAAAAAACACTTAATTACGTAACGTTGTAAACGTATGACACGTTTGTGTGTAGCAGTGTTGTCGTTTTACCTGCCTAGTATTTAATGCTAAAATATACTATTGTATGAATACAAAAATACCTGTCTAATGAACTACTGCTAAAGTTGACCAGACCACACACTAGAAATTGAAGGGACGACGACGTTTCGGTCCGTCCAGGACCATTCTCAAGTCGATTGACAATCGACTTGAGAATGGTCCAGGACGGACCGAAACGTCGTCGTCCCTTCAATTTCTAGTGTGTGGTCTGGTCAACATACTTCAGCCACGTTATTGTGACTCATCGCCTACTGCTAAAGTCATGAACATTATCGCTGAATATTCGTATCGAAAGCGGTAGGTTGGCAACTTTGCTCATACCCATTATCTGGTATAAATGGACAGGAAGCGTTCACGTGCGTCGGGTATGATTCGTACCAGTACAATTCATCCTGCTTACTTTTTAAATATATACAAATTTAAATATTATTGAATCTTAAAAAAACGAAGAAATAACATTATTAACTTGTTAGTGATATAATAATATTTTCCAGCCACGATCAACCATCACCCCAGAAGTCATCATCTCCCTTTCCCCTCACCCTCTCTCCCTTTCCCCTCATCCTCTCTCCCTTTCCCCTCATCCTCTATCCCTTTCCCCCATTCCATCGTCTACTTGCAGAGGTCAGACAGCACTGGATCCCAGTCATTTCTAAACAACAGTCATTCCCCCTTATTAATGAATTATATAATTATATTATAGCCCAAAACACTATGCGTGTTAGTGGCTTTGTAAGAATGTATAAACATCAATGCTATGTACTCTAAAACGCAATGTACCTTCTTGTATATAGATAAATAAATAATGTACCTTATAAATCAACTGATATCAGAATCTTACCTGATCATGTTGTTCCAGAACTAAAACTTTCTTTCCAGACTTTGCCATGAGTGCCGCTACAGACAGTCCCCCTACCCCACTCCCTATCACAATGGCATCCAAATTCTCTGGAACTTTGTCTAGACTGAAACCTGAAAATACAACATTACAATACGTAAGTGAATATGTATATAATTATATTTACATATATAGTGTAATTATTTAATATAAGAGTATATAAATAAATATGTACATACTCATTGTATATAGACAGTAAGTTACAGTAACGTGGCTCAAAATTAGACGCTCAACCCACACGTCTGAAAATAAAGGGAGCGACGAGGCTTCGGTCAAATCTGTACCATTATAAAGTTTTGTAAAGAACGAGTAGCAGACTTAGCCTTTGTCCCTAAAGGGGCTAAGGCTAAGTCATCAATAGAAAGACACTAAAGAAAGAATATCAAACACTAAATAATAAATGTTGTTATATATATTTATTCTTCAATTAAGAATTGTTTATATATTCTACAGTATTTCTATGACGGCTGATCTCATTGAAACTTAAAATACTGAACAATTTGGATATTCATCCAAACCAGTTCTTCAAAAAGTCAACTGCAACAACCAAGTAGAAACGGTTTCAAGCTCACCAATCCACAATGCAGGACAGAAAAACAGTAGATGCTTTTTCACCCATAGATTTCCATAGGTTATAAACCCATGGAACTGCCAACCCGCCGAAGCTGTCAATACCGAAACACTGCTGAATTTAAAAATTCAGCTCGATAAAATCATTAGGACAAATGGAGATACCTTTGACAAACCACCACGCAGTTTCCTGTCCTCGTCGCGGCCACTAGGGAGATAGTGCCCCTCAGGTAAATTCAAATAAATTGAATATGTAAAAAATATGCAAAGATGCATTCTTGCATTTCTGGCAAGAAAACGCCAAAGATTTTGTCTTGTACATTAGAGAGAAAAACCACCAAAATTTTCAGATCTGGATTATTTCAGAATCAGGGAGTCCGGTTATAATTAAAGTACCGAACTGTAGTCTGGATCTGCAAGATTACAATGAAGCTATACAGTATTTACTTGACAAAATACTACCATTTCCTATACTATTGGAAACTCTTTGTGTACATATAAATGCCTTGCAAGTTTTTCTTTTATACCTGTGCATTAAGGAACACTTTATAATATTTATTAACTAATGGAACAACTTAACATTACAACAAACACAGATACTAACCTTGCTTAAGAACAGCATCTCGCTGCTTTTGATCCGTGACTTTGGCCTTGACGTTGGTACACGTGTTTTTCTTAAACGGGTTTGGTGAGCAGATTCTGGATGCAATGAACTTGATAATCTTTTTCCCAAAACCAAGCAGTAATGCTAACACTATCAGAAGTGAAATTAATCCCATTTTATCTCTGGGGAAAACAAAACAAAAAATATTAGTTGTAAATACAGTATTAGTGAAAGTTACAGTACAGTATTATTATCACTAACACAATAGTATAAACAACTGTCAATATCCTTTAAATACCAAGAATTTTTATTACTGCGGATTTTCCGCTGAACGTCCCTCATCCTGTAGCAGTTCCCGCGCCTGTAATCTCCCCTCTTCACCAATGAGTTTTTGTGTGTAAACAATGCCTTCAGCTCCACTATGTATTTAAGCATGACAGTGCTCGAGTCGCTAGCTCCTAGAGGCATCTCATATTCAATTTTTTCAACATCTGCTTCATTTGAGGAAAGCACCAAGTCTAGTGATGCTGGTAAATTGTCTCTTCTTACTCGTATTGGTTCTGTGACAAGTTGCTTTAAGAAGTGCCATGTCTACCAGTTTTGCTCTCATTGTCTCATCACCCCCCTACAGGATCCCTATTTACCCAGTCTATTTATCTGTGGTTGAAGTCCCCCAATATTATGATTTTAGCTTTTGTTCCGCTTGCTACCTGTGGCTGCCGTTTCTAGCATCTTCAGGCAATTTTCATTGCACATGTGATACTCTTCTCTAGGCCATCTATTGTTTGGTGGAGATTATAAATTACTGCTACCACTATCTTCACACCTTCCACTGGTGCTATTCCTAGAATATATTCTTGTCGGTTAGCTCTCTGTCTTCTATTTTTAGTTGTTTAAAACTCAAGTGTAGCTATAACAAGACTTACACCACTCTCCCCTCTGTACACTCTCTCCTTATTACTTAATGCCCTCTGGGGAAGATTGCACTTCCTATAGTGCTTGTCAGTTTCGTTTGTTACTGCGATCGTGTGGGGTTGTACTTAGTGTTACTCTTTCCTGTAACTCTGTTCTGTTATTGGCAGTTCCATCCTCATTTGTGTACATTAATTTTATGCTACTAATGGCAATTAGGCTGCTTTTATTTTTTCCCGAGGAGTATTTGTTCATGTAGTTGTATTTCTGTATCTGATAGGTACGGTGAACCAGTCACTCCTGCCTATTTGTTTGTGTGGATGCCTTGTTAGGCTGGGCACACCTGCTACCTTCTCTGTAGTGTACTCTGTTTCATTTTTAAGATAGTTTGCTCTACTATTTCACTGTGTTCTACAGTTTCCAGATTTTATTTGTCTTGTGCACTGTTTGTGCTATTTTCTGGTCTCATTATATTTATTTGTTTTTTTCTCCGATTCTCTCTTATACCTCCCTTTCCTTTTTATTGTTGCCGCCGAAGGTAGCTAGTTTATTGTGCACCCCATACTCATCCTGTGAGCGGTAGCGCAAAAGCATTACAGAGGGCACAAAAGGTCTTTATCAGACCTCATCTTAGATTATTACATAAACAATTTCATCTATCCTTCACACCTTATAGTTACAATGTCAGCTAGTTACAGAGAAAGTGCTATTACAAGAGCTACATATTTGTAGCAAGTCATCATACATTAATGGTAGGTCTTATCGCTAATACATAATAGTTTGACCAATGGAGATATTACAGAGTCATAGGGGGAGCTTCTGTTTATTATTAGTCCTCACAATACACTACTTGTTTCTGAATCGCATATGTCGTTCATCTACTGGAAGCGAAATGTGGATACAGTGCAAGGATTTCAGGTAATTTATCCATGGTAATAAGATAGGTTGCCATATCATACAGACTGAGCTTAGATTTATCTATAAATGGCTCAATTTTACTACAATCCAGGATATAGTGTTCGAGTGTGTGTCCCTGTCTTTGTCCACACACTTTACACTTTACTTCATCTAGATCCCTATACAAGCCGAACTGCCAGATATACTTGTAGCGAAGTCTTATACGAGCTGTGACAACATCTGTTAGTCTACTGACTTTGTTACTTGCTCCATACACATGTTTTACTTCACACATTTCATTGTGATGAACAATGGACCTGCTAGTTCCAGTTTGCTCTGTTCTACTTTCTTCAAATTCATCCAGGAGTTCTCGTCTAATGACCCTTTTAAGGGACCTATTTGATAACTCAAGATTCCGTTCAAATACTGTCTTTATCCCTTTCCTCCTTAGACATATCCTGTCTAATAAACACTGCACGGTATTTATCCTTATTTCTTAAACCTCACTTCTCTGCCAGTATATACTTGTTCTCTCCCCTTCTTCCAACTCTTCCTGGATTTGTACACTGCCTCTCACTAATTCATCCATGTTGTCTCGAAATTCTACTATATTAATGGTGCAGGTGGCGTACGAGTGAGCTGCGGGTACTGCATGGCTTTCGGGGTTCACGCTGGGGATATCGCGGGCAGAGTCGGGTTGGGGTGTTGGGGGGGGGGGGGGGGCTGCGGGTGATATTAATCAAGTCGGAACCTGGATTTGGGTGTCGGGTGAAAGATGGGTCGGAGTTCAGGTGTTACGGGGGATTGAGGAGGGGGATGTGGAGTCTGGTCGACTATAGTGAGGTGGGGGGGGGGGTATTGTGGTAAAATGCGGTGGAGTGGACGGAGTTCAGGTGTTACGGGGGAATGGAGGAGGGGGATGTGGAGTCTGGTCGACTATAGTGAGGTGGGGGGGGGGTATTGTGGTAAAATGCGGTGGAGTGGACGGAGTGCGCGGCCAGATTTGGACGGACGGGTGGGGAACAAGCATGGGCGGGGACGTTGTGGGCGGGTGCAGGCGGGCCTATGGAAGTGGGAGGGTATGGGGCTGGAATAGACGGCTGAGACCGAGGGCGAGCGCGCAGGCGCATACCGTATGGTATGCGGGCGGGCGGGCGTGCAGACGCGTGGTATGAGGGTTTGAACTTGTTTTAACGTGGCCATTTTGCGTAGTAAGAGAACGTCTGCTTTAGTGTTGTCATTATGGCCTATCAATCTTCGGAGGGTTATTAACGCCCATCAACCTCTGGAGGGATATTTAGGCTCATCAACCTTTGGAGGGTTATTAAGGCCCATCAACCTCTGGAGGGTTATTAAGCAACATCAACCTCTAGAGGGTTATTAAGGCCCATCAACCTTTGGAGGGTTATTAAGCCCCATAAACCTCTGGAGGGTTATTAAGCCCCATAAACCTCTGGAGGGTTATTAAGGCCCATCAACCTCTGGAGGGTTATTAAGGCCCAGCAACCTCTGGAGGGTTATTAAGGCCCATCAACCTCTGGAGGGTTATTAAGGCCCATCAACCTCTGGAGGGTTATTAAGCCCCATAAACCTCTGGAGGGTTATTAAGGCCCATCAACCTCTGGAGGGTTATTAAGGCCCATCAACCTCTGGAGGGTTATTAAGGCCCATCAACCTCTGGAGGGTTATTAAGGCCCATCAACCTCTGGAGGGTTATTAAGGCCCATCAACCTCTGGAGGGTTATTAAGGCCCATCAACCTCTGGAGGGTTATTAAGGCCCATCAACCTCTGGAGGGTTATTAAGGCCTCTGGAGGGTTATTAAGGCCCATCAACCTCTGGAGGGTTATTAAGGCCCATCAACCTCTGGAGGGTTATTAAGGCCCATCAACCTCTGGAGGGTTATTAAGGCCCATCAACCTCTGGAGGGTTCCAGGACTAATATATATATAATATATACTTTTTATACAGTATATAAGAATTCACTGTATAATACACTGATAAGTGGAGTATAGTTCTCGCTGTATATATCCGGTCGCCTGTGAAACAATCATATATAGAGAATTATATATGAAAAATATATGATTATCCGTCGCGATGCAAGTCTCATCCTATCTTGAGATGATTTCGGGGCTTAGCGTCCCCGCGGCCCGGTCCTCGACCAGGCCTCCTTTTTGTTACAAATCCCCAGGAAGCAGCCCGTAGCAGCTGTCTAACTCCCAGGTACCTATTTACTGCTAGGTGAACAGGGACATCAGGGTGAAAGAAACTGACCATTTGTTTCCCCCTCCACCGGGGATCGAACCCGGAACCTTAGGACTACGAATCCTGAGCGCTGTCCACTCAGCTGTCAGGCCCCTGATAGGAAGAGGGGGGGGGGGAGAGTCCTAACCATATACTGTACTCAGACCTCGACAAAGCACTCAGGAGGGTGCGAAACACTTGGTGTAAATCTTTACATAAAATACACAAATACCTAAGCGTGGGGTTTTATCCTATGTTATTATGTCTGTGAGAAGACACTATACCATTAGAGAACAACCCGTCCTCTTAAAAATAACGTCGCCATCTTCCCCAAATGGCGAGGGTCAAGTCGGGAGAAGAGAAAAGAAGGCGAGAGGAAAGGTTTTTACCACAAGAGAAAGTAACCGGACAAGCTCTCGCAGGTGTTGTGACCCGGTTTCAAGTGGCCCGGTTCGCGTCGAAGCTGTTAGATTAAGGACCTGCACGAAACGTTATGCGTGCTAGTGGTTTTTACAAGAATGTAAACTTCACTGCTCTGTACTCTCATGAACCCAATGTACCTTCTTGTATATAAATAAATAAATAAACAAAGCTCCGCCCCTCCTAAGAGATCGCATGAATGAAATGAACCAAGACTTTCTCTCTTTCCCCCCAGAGAGGGCGGATTTTTTTTCACGCTTCATTTTCAACATTATGCATTTCTTGGCAGACAGTAAACTTATATATTAATGATATAAAAGTGGGTTTAATTGTGTGTAAAAGTGGGTTTAATCGTGAGTAAATGACTTTTGTAGAAGACACTACGAGACTGAGATCAAAGCCCCTCCCCCCCTGGGGAAGGCAGACAAGAAAGTTGGGTATAAAAACTCGTCAAATGCGCGCCAAAGTTGCCAGACACCACCATGATAACGGCATCTACTGGCGGATACTGATTACCCCTAGGAGAGTCCTATAGTTAGCTGGGGGGGGGGGGGGGAGGGAGTCCTATAGCTAGCTGGGGGGGAGCACTATAGCTAGCTGGGGGGGGGGGAAGGGAGTCCTATAGCTAGCTGGGGGGGGGGGGAGTACTATAGCTAGCCGGGGGGGAGTGCTATAGCTAGCTGGGGGGGAGTACTATAGCTAG